ATTGCAGCGCGTCCAACGTCCGCTTACCAGCGGCATCCAGCTCGAGTTGAAATTGGTCAAAAGTTTAACATATTTGCGTGTGTGCGGAGAGGGCTTTACGGTTTGAATTGCTGCATGCTGGACGCAGCCAGGGAGCAGGGAGCTCAAGGGGCACATGCGACTCCGGCTGCTGATGTTGGCCTTTTTGGCGCATTTTTTGGGTAAATAAACGAGCGGCTGCACAGTCGAGTGCCAGCCGCGGGCACATCCTGCCTGCCTGCCTGCCAGCCTTGTTGGTTTGCTCTCATGGGCTCCGCTTATGAGTTTCGCTTTGTCAAGGGCCGTCACCCCACTGCCAATAGCTGTTATTGCAATGGCAAAATGTTAATGCACATATTAAAGATAAACTAAATATATAGATACAAAATAAATATATATATATATTATAATAAATAATAAATTCAACGTTTTACCAGAGCAAACTTAAAACAACAAAAATTCAACAAGCTTCAAATAATAAATATATACTTAATTATAAATATAACAATTAACAACTGTTGTTCGCACAATACTATTAAATATTTATATGTATATGTATGTATATTTACTGCTATTTAATATTATTCACATTCAACTTTTCACTTCATTTATATATTTGCACTAAGTTATTAGCTAATAGATTCAACTAGCCTATACACTAATGCTTGGGCTATAATTAGATTCCATTATGACTGCGCCCCTATTTCGCAAGGAACGTTTTACATTAAGGCCTCAAGGCAACGGCAGCGCCTATCTACTAAATATATATTCGAACATGTTATCAAGTAGAGTATTCGGTATTCGACTACAGAATTTAACGACTAACTAACGACTATGCTATAAAGGCCACACACAACCGTGGTAAAGCATTGGGACAGCTTATAAGCTGATTTGGTATAGTTAACATGACTAGCATTTTTCACTGAATAGATTTGGATATTATATATGTATGTATATATATATATTAGTACTTTGTTGCTTTTACTGAATGGCACAGACAGCAGAGGCGCCCGTATATTGATTATTCAGACGACGACGCATGCCCTCCAAGTAAATGTCGCGACTAAACAGGCCAGCAGCAAGGGGTATACTGAAAGAAAGAAAAGATATTTGAGTTGTTGTTGCTTCCAACTATTTGGCAGCCACTCACGCATCGGTGCCAGCACGGATGAGTGTGCGAAACAAAGCCCACACTGGCTTGTGATCAGATGTAGTTATAGACGGCACAGAATCGTACAGCAAGCATTGGACATACGGCTGCGTGGGCGTAGATACACCCGGCACAGTGCTCTGTCGGCGTATGACTAATCCCTGCACCTGACGGTATTTGTAGAGAATGCGATCCGTATAAGCAGGCGCACGCTGCTTAGAAGACGTATCAAAATTCTGACTTCCAGGATCATACTGAAAATGAGCACACACAATTATACACTGAATGTTGACATCGCGCTTCCAAAGCTCACCTTATATGTGGGCGGAAATGTAATATTTGCCTCCATGAAGCCACGGAAGGCAGCGCCATCGGCCAGCACCGACGAGAGCTGATCCGTGTGCATGTAACCATGTGGCAAATGCGAGGGTAACGGAAATTTCGTATTCTGTATCCACTCGAGTAGCTTCTCACGTGGCTCGCCCAGCCGAAAGTTTAGGTCGCCACACCAGAACACATTGTCGAAGTTCTGCGTAACATCCTTGTTCTTGTGACGCATGTTTGGCAGATTTTTGGGCAGATCCAATGCATTTATAATGCGCTTGACATCGGACACACGCTCCTTCACCTTCTGCTGATGTGCGGTTAAATGGGAAGTAACGAATAGCATGGATGTGCCGAACAGGCAAAACGAGATGGCCACAGCGCCCTTGGTCCGAAATGCCGAGCCCGTGCGCACCGACATCGAAGCATCCTCGGGCGCCGAACAGTACCAAATGAGATCACGCCGCATGTAGACAGCCAGATGAAGGGTGCCGAGTGTGGTCGAATGGAAAAGCACGTGCGACGGACCCAGTGTCTCCTGCAGCGTGACTTCCCATTCAAAACGATCCGGCGTGGACTCCTGAGTGCCCATAACAACCAGGTCGGGCACATGTTCCACATTCGAAGGTAACACAAAATCGTTCATTTGTCTAAAAAAATAAATAATTATAAATATGGAAATATTGTTTATTCGAATTCCCACTCACTTGGGTGGACTGTGGCCATTCATGTTCCAGGTGCCAACGAATATGGTCACCTCTTTTTGGGGGAGCACGCGACTCAGTTCGCTTGGTCCCAACAGCGAGGATGAGCCCAGTCGTCCGTCCAGATAGCTACGCTCCCGTGCCTTGTCCGCCGGTATGAGATTCAATGCCTGCGCAGCCATCAATGCCTGGCGAGCCAAATTGGAGCCAGATCCTTGGCGCCGCAGCGTCATGTTCTCGTGCGACATGAAACGCATACCAGGCATCTCCTGGATGCCCACATCGAGCGTATCCGGCTGTGTGGCAATGTTCGGCGAGGACATGTGCTGCGGCGTTGTGGCACGCTTCAAAGTTTCTGCACTCTCCTCTGGATGCAGCGGCGGCAGCTCCTGGCCAGGTGGAAACAACTTGAGGCGCAGTCGTGAACGACAAGCAGACACAGCGATGGGTCGAATGGGCGCCCGATTCACGGTGTCACTCTTATTGGACGAACTGGATGGAGAATAGTGCAAATGCTGGTGCGTAGAGCCGGTAGCGCTTGCACCGCTTTGCTCAAAGAAGGTTTTACTGGCCACTGGAGATTCGGGTGCACTGGCGCACTCGCTCGACGGTCGCGGGCGCTGATACGAAGCAGCTCCTTCGCTTGAATGCGAATTCATCGAACCCGAATTATCCATCATGCTCCAGCTGAGCGACAGATTGTCGCGCCGCAGCACGTTGCTTGCCGTTGCATTAACCACGGCATCGGGTATCGAATTATAGCGCACAGAGACCGGTGGCGTCATGGGCTTCTTCTCAGCCTTGCAGCACAGGCTGAACTGATGGCTGAACCGATTGTGATTGGGCGAACGCTTCTTAGGCGACTTGCGACGCATTACGACGTCAGCGCCGCCATCGCTTTGGGAGCCCGTATCGCTATACCGATGTGTGTGAGATTTGCTCTTTGACGTTGGATTGCCGCGTCTATGGAAGCTTATTAGTCCACTGTGCGATTTATCCAGCATCTGCGTGGCATTGCAATTGGCAGCGTTGGCTGGCAACGTTTGGCTCTTGTGATTGTTGCTCGACTCCGCCGAGCATTTGGCAAAGCTGACATCATATTGTCCACAAGCAGACGTTGGTCGTCGCTGAGATTTTGGGGAATCAGGTGTCACAGGATGTGGCTCCACCTTGCTGGGCCGCTTGCTCAACAGCCCAAACAAGGTGCTAGTCTTTTGTGCGCTGCGTGGACTGCCGGTAATGCGCTCCTCACTGCCAGTTCCACTCTGCTGCATGATGTACAATTGTGTGGATGCAGCGAGGTAAATAAGTTTATATTCGAGTTGTGTTTGTTGGGGATCCTAGGTGTTAGCTGCTCATGCAAGTCTCTGCAGGTGTAATACTGTGCTTCATCACCTATTATCACATGTTTTCAATTGTGCTTCGATAGTGTTTACATTTAGCGTTTTCAAATTAGCCTCTTGTGCGTATAAAATGTGTCGAAAATCGGACTACAATTTGTATAGGCTGCACTCCATATGTGATGTTTCCCTGCTGCTATGCTCAGCCCATGGTGAGCAACGAATTGTGCTGTGCCTTTGCCTACAAATATGTTGAGAATTTTATAATTACTTTTCTTTTTATAGCTACCCATGCACGCAACTCACCTGTGATTTAGACTTCTGCGACTTCTCCTGGTCATAAAAAACCACAATTTGCAGAAACAGCTGTGTGGGCGAAAATGAAAAGCAAAAAATCAATATGTGTATATAAAGTGTAAGCACATGTAATAAAAAAGCTGTCGCGGAGCGAAACACTTAAATCCACCCTGCCCGCTTGCTTTGGCGTTGCCCAGAGCAATGCTGGCGGCGCCAACAGTCGCGGGCAAGGGCTGCTGAAAGAGGCCGCGCAAATAGCATACAAAAGGGGGTGGTGAAACAAAAAGAACTATATAACGACGACGTAACGAAATTGGCATCTGCAAAGCATGCTGCGATGTTGCGGCTGTGACGTCCGCCCACGCACGATGAAAGCGCAAATAAAAAAATAAATAATAAAAAAAAAGACTGCTAGCGACATCACTTGACTTGTGCGCCGGTGCGCTCTTATGCTGGGATTTATAATTAGCAGCCTATTGTTGCCGCCAAACGAACCCGCAGTGTCTTTGCCTTGAACGCCTATGAGGCGAGGTGTCTGGCGAAGTCTCGGCCAACAGCAATAGAAAACAACAACAATAACAGCAGCACCACAAGCACACACTTTTTGTCACAACTTGTTTCAAGTTCAGGTTCAGGCACTCTACAGCATTGACACTTTATTTCACGACCTTGTACCTTTTAGCACATTGTATGCCTGTTCGGTGCCCGCAATCACTAAAGCAAAATAAATGTTGTTTATTTGCTTAAGTTACTCGATACTCTGACAGTCGGTTACTCGATTCCTCGATTGCAATGGCTTTAGATTCATAATTTTGTATCGACTATCGTGGGATCATACTTAACATTGCCTTAACATAGATATGTTAATTACTTTTATACTGTTCAAAGTCTGTTTCAAATATTAAATTCAGAATGCGAAAGACTTTAAATAAAAATTTGTTCGCCTTGATATGTCAATGTAGCTCACATATTTTATATGAGATTTAATTGGTACAGGTAGATTGTGACCCAGTTTCATTTATAATTTCAAACTAAAAAAGAAACAAAAAGGTAAACAAATCGAACAGCTGATTACGAGTTGAACACATTTATTTCTCAGAAAGCATACGGCCACACTTTTTACTCACACAAGAATATATCGATATGGCGTAATATTCGATCTAATCACGTATCGCTAGAATAAAAGCGCATCCAGCACCAGGAAAACCTGCATTCGTATTTTGCACATTCGGCGGGCTGAACCTCAGACAATTTCGCCATGGCTGCCCAGACAATACTTTTTGATTTTACCCTGGATGCTGGAAAAACAGCGACTTCAATACAACGCCAAGAAGTGGCCCGTATTGTTCGCAACGAGCTAGAACATGTGTTCACCCAATTGGAACTTGCCTATTCTATGGAATCCATGGATAATGGATACTTTTCGGTGCTGCACGAGAATAAGGAGACAATTATAACGTGCCGCATCTTCCAACAGGGTTTGTTAACCATCAATGTGGAGTATTACTTGGCTGCCGGAAAGGAACCAGTCTTATCCTTAGATGTATGTATGTATAAAATACGCACCATAGTTATTTTATGAAACAAAAATTTGCACCTACACATATATTTATATATGTATTTTTTTTTTGGCACATACACGTGTGAAAGTAAATCACGGACACAGGCGTACAGTGAGACTACGACTAGCTGTGAAATGTTTGTGTGTGTGTGTGTGTATGTGAGAGGAACCGAAAAGGGCCCAAAGCGGCAACGGGAAGTGAAATTGATTTTTCGTAACTGTATGTGTGGATGTGTGTGTGCGCGAGGCCCCTTGGCGGAGGTGTGTCTCATGCACTTGACCGTTTTTATACCCAGAAACCCTGAAAATGGGTTTTCAGGGTATATTATTTTTATTAACATTCGAGATAAACTACAAAAGATCGTGACTTGATATTTGCAATTTATATTCTGCGTATATACATTATGGCTCGATATTATCAATAACAATAGATATCTCGACGTAGTTTTTTAGAGCTAGACATTTCATATTTGCTGTGTATAGTATCTGCTAGTCGAACATTCTGAATTAGAGCACTCTTACTTGTTTTCCGTTAACATTGTTTTTGCACCCTTCAAAAGTGGGAGTGGAAGGCGATGGGCGCATCGTATTTCACGGCATTCGAGCTTCACATGGCCAAGACCTTAAAATTTAACTATGTATGGGTATAGACTTGACTTGTAACTCTTATATCATAGCTTGTCTTGGTATACGGTAATAATAGAATGTTTATTTATTTATCTAGTACATTTAAACTGTAAGTCTTCACATAATCTTGAACGTAAAAGAGCGAGAGAGCTTTTTGTTATCTTGATTAGGGTATGCGAACATCGGTCCGGCAGCTAGCATGATTTCTATCTCGCTAGCTTTCTCTCTCTCTCTCTCTCACTCGCTCTCTTCGAAGCACGTGTTTGCAGGTTTGAGTAAATATGTGGGAATTCTTGAAATGATTTGTATGCGCTCTGCACTGACCAGCTGCGCTTCTCAGTAAAGTTTGCTTTTGTTTATGTTTATAGTAAGCTAAATAAGACCGGAACAGAACGAATACATGTGTACATACAGACGTATAATATCAAAACACTAGTCTAGCCTGCAATTCACGCTTACCGTATTACATATACTTTCGACTAAAGAAATGTATATATGTAGTATAAAGCTTATAATACTGCACTTGACTAAGGAATACTTACCATTTTCGTATGAATCTACAATCTGAACTATAAATAGTTGTTTGCGGTGCTGGCTATAAACTTATTTAGATACATATATGTATATATATTCCACACTAACAAGGGCCGATTCAAAAGTTTGTGGCTGCGGGAAATTTCCTCTTCCTAGCTGAATGGAATTGTGTATTTTATTGTTTCCTTTTGATTTGCTTAATTAATTAACTTCATCACAGCATTTACATTTGCAATTTATATGCCTTGATATATCCCCAGTAGGTAAATAATATTTAGGTCATGTTCTTTAAGCTTAAATAAGAAACATTACAATTGCAGACCATGCGAACAATGGAGCTTATTCTACGTCAGAAATTAGATTCCGATCGATCCAAGTATTTACCGCCTATAAAACGTGGTGGATATATTGACATATACATGACTAGCTCAGGTTGGTCGAATATCTATACTATATTTAAAAAAAAAAAACATATAAGTTTAGTTTTTTTGCTAGTTATATATGCAAAAGTATATCAAAGAATTTCGCAATCCTTGTATTTACTCTTCCTCTACCGAATTCTCTCTTCAAAATCAATTGCCAAAAACTTGCAACCCAAGCAGAGCAAAAAACAACTATAATCAATCCAAATTTCTATTCACTTTATATATCGATTCGACAAATATATAAATCCATATTCATCAACTATTTGGTTGCACGGCCCCTAGCCATTGTAGTGTGGCTCTATAAATTCGCAAACGGCTTGTCAGTCACTCACACTACAACCAAAAGTGTTTCTTGTTTTCGTTTTCGTTCATTGTAGCCCACAACATCCATGTAATATACAAAATACTATATAAATTGGTTTGCTGCCTAGCTTATCTATAGCAATTGCCTTCTAATTTCGGCAGTTCTTGCATGCTTGTTCCGTCGTGCTAGAAATCGAATTGAAACCGAAAAAAAAAAGAAAAAGTAACTAAAATAAAATCAAAACGAACAACGTATTATTTGTATTATTTTAAGAATTCTTAATTATTTTGATTTTTTTCTATAAACTCTTTTTTATTTTCATATCCATGAATACACAAAAATGAAACCTATGCGATGTCTTTGGTCTTCTCTTCATCATCATCATCACATCAATATATGAACACCATCATCGCCTATGATCATCATCTATGACAATCTTTTACAACCATGATCGAAATTTCTTCAATTATAATCAAACAAAATGTGTAAACCAAATTAAATTGTACGTACGCCCAATGCACCTGTGTCACCTGCCCTGCTCGCTCGCTCGTTCGCTCGCTCTCATGGTACCAACTGAAACAACTACAACAACAACAACAACAACTCCATCTACCACTATGTACATTAACCACTCAACAACTGAGCAGAAGGGCAAACGCTTGGAAAATGCCCTAGCAAAAAGTTTGCAAGCCCTTTCGGGTCAAAAGATACCAACATTGAAGCGCGGCGATGTCGCTAGGTATTATCCATCCTCAGGTAACGTATACCGTATACTCTATTATCATAATACAAAATAATCAAAATAAGAAAACAAAAACTATAAAAGCTAAATCATAAGTCATAAGTAGTTGAAAGCAACTTTCGCACTGCGTACAAATACATGATAAAAGCACAAGGCATGTTGCATACTTACATTTGAGATTCGAATAATTTACTTTTGAGCAATTATTATTATTTTTTGGCCTTTAATTATCTGTTCAGTATTCTATCTGTATTATTTGTTTGTAATTTAGTTTGTTTAATTATTTATCTGTTTTTATTTCAGTTAATTTTGATGCATGTATGTTATTCTGTATATATAGGATCTCTAGGGTATCTGTTTGCAGTTGTTGTGAATAGCTTGCAGCCAGAGTCTATATTATATTTAATCCTTGTGAACTTTTGAATATTGATTCGCAGATGAGCGCATTATTGAATACGACATCGATACCCTTGTCTATGAGGCTCGTTCGCCGTTCCAGAAGATTCAAATCCTGCACTCCAAGACGCTGGGCAACATGCTAATTTTAGACGAGCTGCAGAGTAAGTTACACATAGGCACTCGGTGTCGCGGTGGTACGTTGGCAAAGTGGCATGGTGGCACGTTAATTAACAACCCCTGCATGGGCCGAGGACCATGCCACACAGATCAAATTGAGGTCAAGGCCTACTTGGTACACATCACGTGTCGCTGTTGCAATCGAGCTGAAATTAAATCAACTGCTAATGGTTGCTAATGTTTTGCCATTGCAGATATTGCGGAATCTGATTTGATCTATACGGAAACCCTAATGGGCCGCGGCATTGAGAACTACGAGGGCAAGGAGATATGTATACTGGGCGGCGGAGATGGCGCTCTACTCTACGAGCTGCTCAAGGAAAAGCCCAAGCATGTGGTCATGCTGGAAATTGATGAGCTTGTTATGCAGGCCTGCAACAAGTATCTGAGCAGCATTTGTGGCGATGTGTTGGAGAAGCGCAAAACCGATCAATATGAGATCATAGTGGGCGATTGCGTGGACTATATGAAGAAGTTCATTGCGGAGGGGCGCAAGTTTGACTATGTCTTTGGCGATCTAACTGATATACCCATTTCGGATGCACCTATTGGCGAATGCTGGGATTTTATACGTACCATCTTTGAGCATTCATTCCAGCTGCTCAAGCCGGATGGCAAATATCTGACTCATGGCAATGGCACAAGCTGCTTGGAATCGTTGCAGTTGTTCGAGGAACAGCTACGATTGCTTAAGCCGAAGGTTAAGTTTACTACAACCAAAGCTTTTGTGCCGTCATTCATGGAAGAATGGCTCTTCTATCAAGTAACTTTCGCTTGACCAGCTCAAATTGAAGCAGTTATGCGACGACGACAAGCACCACAATTACAGCTTACAACTAGCACGAACTTAACAACAGCAGCAACAACAACACCCACATCGTGTATCCAGAATGCTACATCCAACACGCAAATCGTTCTCACACCCACATTACAAATCTATCCAGTTGAGCTCAGCACCAAGGAGCCGCTGTTACTGCACAGCTACACCGTGATATTGCATGCTGCCAAGACGCAGCAGCTGCCACAGAGTCTACACAACAATATTTTGCCCCTCAAGAAGCGACGTAAGAAGCGTGTGCATTACCATCATGCCCTGGTTTCCTAGTGGAGGCTATTCATCAAATGTAACCAAAAAGACAAAGAAACTACTTAGCATCACTAATAGCACCCAAAACAATAAAACAACAAAATAGACTTCCAAGGGCTGTAACTAGCATCTGATAACCAAACCAAAAACAAATATTTAAAGTCCAATTGATATAATTTAAGTTAGGATTTAGTTGTGTTTTACGTTCATTGATTTTAAAACTAAAACTAAGTCAGGCTCAAAGGCAAGAAGAAAAGAAGCCGAAAAGTGTTATGTATTTATTTGTGCTTATTTAATTATTTAACATTATAATTAATGTCTAGTATTTTCATAAACATACATAATATTCTATATATAATTAGAATTCATGTAATTTTTCAATTAGACGCAATTTAAAGCGTGTTTATGAGAAATGGAGTGTTAGGAGTGTAGCTGATGGCTGATGTCACTTGATATATTTGAATAAAAACAGCAATAAAATGTCGTACGCAAAATAAACAATTTTTGTCTTTTTTTTTATGAATATTTACTCTCAATCTCTATAGAAAACAAAAGTACATTTTCAATTTGGCGCGCACTGATACGCAAACAATTCCGATTACAGTATCGATAAGAACTAACTGCAACAATCGATTGGTCCACTTTTCAGTGAAAAGCACAATTTCATTCATAAGACGTGCACCGCTGCTGCGGAACGAATTAAAGTAAAAATGGATCGCAAACTGCATAGTGCTATACATCATCCAACTCTACGACTGCTGCAGGAGTCTGGCTGTGAAATACTGCCACATAACTTGATGTATCCTGTCTTCATAATCAGCAACGACGATGAAGTGCAACCCATTGCAAGCATGCCAGGCATTTCGCGATACGGGCTAAACCGATTACGCGAGCACTTGGAGCCGCTAGTCAAAAAAGGTTTGACCTCTGTGTTGCTCTTTGGCGTGGTGGGAACTGAGCACAAGGACGATCAAGCGACAAACGCTGACTCGAGTGTGAATCCCGTGGTGTTGGCATTACCCAAGCTACGAGAATGGTTTCCCACTCTGCTGCTTGCATGTGACGTGTGCATCTGTCCGTATTCGTCACATGGCCATTGCGGTCTGCTGGGCGACAATGGCTTGGAGAACGAGCCGAGTATAAAGCGCATAGCGGAAATATCCGTGGCATATGGTAAGGCTGGTGCACATGTCGTCGCCCCATCTGACATGATGGACAACCGGGTGCGGGCCATTAAGCAGGCTTTAGTGGACGCTGGACTCACCAGCGTTTCACTGCTGGCCTACTCGGCCAAGTTTGCCTCAAACTTCTACGGTCCCTTCAGGGAAGCAGCAAAGTCGGCGCCCGCCTTCGGAGATCGTCGTTGCTATCAGCTGCCCAGCGGGTCTCGGAACCTGGCCATGCGGGCGGTACAGCGCGATGTTAGTGAAGGCGCCGACATGCTGATGGTTAAGCCTGGCATGCCGTACTTGGACATATTACGTCAGACCAAAGACACCTATCCATACCATACCCTGTACGTCTATCAGGTATCTGGGGAGTATGCCATGCTCTGCCACGCAGCGAAGGCGGGCGCCTTCCCGCTCCGTGATGCTGTGCTGGAGGCAATGAAGGGCTTCAGGCGTGCAGGCGCCGATTGTATTATAACCTATTTCACTCCCTACATGCTGGACATAATCAGCAACTCCGCTTAAGTTGAGATGAGGCTGCCCCAGAATAAATCTCCCTCTATATCAAGTGTACTTAAATGGGATCAGGAAATTATCTAGTTCTTAAGACGAAAGCGTGCAAATATTAGTAATAATCACAATTTTAAGACTCAATTTCTGTTTAAACTTCAGTTTTAGCTAATCATGATGACAAATTCAGTACCTTATTCATTGCTATACATATGTACATAGACAATAAGCGATATTGTATACTATTCGTTTGCCATTCAACATTCAATATGCTTATCAGTCAGGCATATTTGGAAGGCAAATGCAAACCAACCCCATTACGCGGCGTCGAGTGTTCCAACTTTGGCATTTCAATTCACCTTAGCGCACAATCAGCCTGACACGTTCCCTAACTAAATGATGAAATATATTCTTACTACAGTGAGTGCTCACAAGTTCGACATTGCGATTCACAAACTACGCATTAAGCTTTACTTTTGATAAACGTTTTTATTCATATTTGTTTTTAAACACTTTGAAGTTTATAAATAATAATTTTATATTTATTTAGCATGTGAATTAAATTGATATTCAAAAATGTGTAATACTATTTATGTTTTGGAAATTGTGACAAATTGTCAATGTATACGGAACAGCTTTATATTTAGCGAGTGACCACTGTGCTGGTCGTCAACCGGTTAATGTGAATGAAATTTGATTTGTCTTTTGGATTGAAAGCATGTGAATTGCGTACTTAAATAGTTTCGCTTTCACTCTAATGAAATATACAAATATGTTTTTGTTTTTGTTTTTTTGGTTTGCAATATGGTGACAACGAAATTGTAATATATAGTGCGATTCTTAAGTCTTGGAATGTGATGTACAAATCACAAAATAAAGTGCATTTAGCAGTACTCAGGCTAAGTTTAAGTACATGAAACATTTCAGTTTTAGTTTTTTCGGGGGGTAAATATCGAAATCTTAAATGCATAGACTTGGACCACAAAAGCCGTGAATATGTGAGAGTAATGCCAGTTAAGGAATCTACAGATACTATATTATATATATATGCTTTATGTATATCTATGAAATACTGTGATGCTTTTTGAAACTCTGCGCTCAGTTGCTTTCGGTGCTATGGATTTTGCTGTGCTCGAGTATGTCCGTGTTTTGCATGGGTTCCAGATCCGTTTCGGATATAATCTCTGCCAGCCACTGCTCAATTTGTACCGGATGAAATGATTCCTCGTCGCCGCTGTTGGCCTCCAAAATAATCTTCAAATTCTCAAAGTTCTTCAATACCAAACGCTTGCCCGGCTGCAGCTGCGATGATAATGTTGTCTTGCTGGCCTCACTGCCCTGCGTGCTGGAGACATGGACCGGCCCGTCTCCTCGGCTCTGATCCTCGCAACTGGAGTCGGCTGCAACAGTAGTTGGCTGCACTGCATCGCTGCTTGTGACTGTTGCTGCTGCAGCTGCGGCTGCTGCTGCCTCTTGCTGTGCGGCTTCATATGTGCGCGTTGGCTTCTGCTTTAGACTCTTTTTGATTTCGTTTAGGAGGCGATTATAAAAGTCACAGGTAACTTCGTTTGTATCCGTTGAGGTGGGCTGTGTGGGCGTGCTCTCCACACTCTCAGAATGCGGCTCTTTCTTAGCTTTGAGAGGTTCCTCTTTGACCTCTGTTCTCTTAGCGCCTTTGTGCTTCTTGGATTGGGAGCGAGAGCTCGCATTGCTGGAGTAGTTGGAGCTGGTAGGTGTGCAACTGGATAGTTCGGTGGCGGTGCTGCTCGAGTCCGCTGAGAGCGTTTGATGTAAGTTTGCGTGCGCTGCAGCAGCAGCAGCTGCAGCGCCATCGGTTAGGGGTAAATCAGCGCTGACAGCATCTTCACTGGCACAGTTGATGGTGAGACTGGAGATGTTGCGCAGGTTGATGGTGCCGTTGCAATTGTTGATGGTTATCTTTGGTTTGAAGCGGGGCTTGCGCGTCTTTGGCTTTTGCTTGCCAGACGGTGGATCGGGGCAGCTGCGTCCGAGGCTCGACACTGCGTCGGCTATGGACGATTCCAGTTCGTCGTCCAGCTCTTCTAGATTGAGCGGTGGCACAAATGTTTCGCGCTTGATTTTAGCTCGACGTATCAGATCTTTGGCTTCCTGCAAGGTGATATTGATAATGGATCGCTTGGCGTTGTCCTCGAGCAACGCCTTGTTGCGCGAAAAGTCCACCACAATGGCCTCTGGTTGCACCTCATCATTCAGATTGAAGTAGTTGCTGCTGTCCACCCGATCCTCCAGGCATTTGTACATGGTCTCATGGTCATCGACCGGCTCAATGTAGTCCTCGTTGCGAAGACCAGCTGTTCTGTTGTCCTGCAACCGATGGAGCGCCAACTGCATATTGCTGTCCAGTTGAAACTGCCCAAAACTCCGAATAGCCGTTAGCAGCTTCTCCTCTTCTTCATTGTCGCCCGTGACGAATCGCACTTCGCATTTTTCATTTTCATTTTCATTGTCGTATTCTATGTAAACGGGCGCTGATTGTTCTCGTTGCGTATTTGCAATTACCTCCAGTTGGCGCAGCAGTAATTTTTCACGCATATGTAATGCAGCACGTATTTCACTGAATTTCTGCTGCACATTTGCTTTTACCTAAACAAAAAATATACGCATTACAAAATCTGCTAAATTTCTGTAACACACCCAAAACATTTGCTTGATACTTTACCTCTTCCAGAAGCTGATCCATGATGGCAATATGATATTCGGTCGATTATATGCTAAATGAAACACATTTTTATCAACTTTCTTTAAGGGTAAATGAAAAATATGCAAATTCTGTTTCTGTTTGATCGAATAAATGGAGCGAACAGCTACGGCGAATAACGAACATATGTTACTCGGCGAAAAATACCAACAATAATTTATCGATAAATAACAGACGGACTTCGCCCTAATCATTAGCAGAGTAAATATTGGCGCCAAGAACTAAAAACAGATGTATATAAAATGGAATAAGTAATATATCGATAAAACAGGGTTTGTCATCGTTTTTGACAGCCGCTTATGCGCTCGCATCTCTACTGTCAAATCGCCTTTTCCAGGAATTGCTTACTGTTAATAACAGTCAGTCTGCTACTTTTGGCCGTCGTGATTTCTAGGCGCGGATAAATTTTTGTTGATTGCTCAATTTGCGCTAGATTCGAAAACAAGATTTCAAGAATATATTTACGTGTTTTTGACAATACGTGCGACATCGACAATAAAAAGAACACTATAAAAAAATAAATATTAATAAGTTCCCCATTGACACAGAAGCTTACGCGGTGCAGCAGCCGACGCCGCTAGCGTCGCATCACATTATTGTAATTATAATTCTTCTGTTCTCATAATTAGTGTGTATTTTAAGATTTGTTAAAATTCTGCAATGCACATTTGTTTATATAAAAGCAACACTCGCCGAAGTGAATCATAGCCATCGAGCGCTGACTGCCGTGTTTTGTTGTTGCTGTTGCTTGCCTCGCACAACTAATCTAAAATAGTGTCAGTGTGTGTGTGCGTGCGTGCGTACCTCTGCTTCTGAGGGTTTGTGTGTGCGTGTGTTGTGTCTTGTTTGTGTTTGCCAACATGTTTTTGTTTTTCTTTTAACTTTGTTCGCATACACGTAGTCTCTGAAACACAACACATAAAAACAACTCACTTAAAAATTGATTGTTCACGTCAATTGTAACAATTGTACAAATGCAACAAAAATAAACAACAACCGCAGTAGCAGCAGCAGCAGCAGCAGCAACAACAGCGTAACAGCGCCAGCAACGTGGAGTGCAAAGGCATAAAAACCAAAGGCAAAAATCAAAAACAAAAAGAATGAGAGAGCGCGAGCGAGAGAGCGCGAACTGTGTCAATGCGGCAACAGCAGCAATGACGCCAAAAACTTGAGAAATATATATATTCCAGACAGGCTATTAAACAAATGAAGCTATTTCTTTATTTAAATAAAGTCACTTTAACTATTTTTAATTGGATTTGTGCGACATTTGACATCGCTACGTCGTTATGCCTACGTTCGGCGTAACGTCAACGTCAACTCTTTTTTTTTTGTGCTTCGCTGTGTCTGCGTTTTTATTGTTGTCTGTTGTCTTTTCATTTCTTTTGCGTTTGGCTTTGCCTTTGCATGAGTGTACGAGCGAGGCAGTGATATTAATTGTATTTGTTTTTGCTTCGTGACTAGATTTTTAGTTTAGTATTTAAATATGAATGCATACAAATCGTTAGAAAAAGAAGAGAAATTAATATAAAATAAATATGTATTCAATCTGAGCTTTCTTGTGGCTCCGGCTTTCCGGTTTCGGTTTCAGTTTCGGTTTCCATTTGCCCGCATTGCAGCGCTTGTTTATCTATGCCGTATTACATACAAAAAGAAAAAACCTGTTTAGCTCGACGTAAACTTTGTAGTTGTACGTTTTAAATAAAAATTACCTCATTTCACACTTTGTGGATTTTCATAAATTAATCTGCCTGCCTGCCTGCCTCTTTATCAAATTACAACTAATATTCTATATTTATGTATGATTCCAGCCAAACGTTTTTCGATTTAAAAGTGCAATTTTTTACAAACATCAACAAAAAGTGTCGCGCATCAAATTTAATTAACGTATTCATTTATAGCACGCACCCCTCACACACAAAACAGACACAAGTACAAATAAACCTGTTACATATTTAAATTCCCAATTGAGAATTTGCGTGTTTCCATTAAAAATACAAAATCCCCCGAAAATAAAAAATAAATAAGAAAAGTGTTTCGGGGTCAATGCTGTTTATTCATTGTGGCTGCTGTTAGCAAGAGACAGATACAGATAGAGAGTGAGAGGGAGAAAGAAGTACACGTAAGTTAAGAGTTTTCTTATTGTTATTTAATTGTTAATTCACACGTCTCAGCAGCCAAGAGCGTGAGACGTCGTAGATAGCCGCGAGCAGCTCAAACTTAGCGGATCATAAATTAAATACTCATTTAGTCTAAATAATAAGTAGAAACGAATTACGTGGCAGCAGGTGGAGCTGTCAATGCTTGCCTTGCATTTAGTTTTATACCTTGAAAGTAGAAAGTTTCCACAGTTGTTCATTTTGTATTTCATTACTTCGATTCTAAAGGTTGTATATTTTAAAACTATAAGGCAATTAAATTTGATTGAGCATTTTGAAAACTTTTTTGTTTAAAATCTCGGTTAAATGTTTTATAATTCAGTTTTCGTAATTAAAAAATATTTTTTAAATATCATATGAAATGTAATGGTAGTTTTCGATTAATTTAGTATACATACTTTGATTCTAAATATTTTTTATAGTATTAGTATTCTTTTAAAATTAAAAAACAATAAATTGATTATTTAATTGTTAATCAATATTGAATCAAATTTCAACTTATATCAAATTTCAATTGAGATTAATTTTCATTGATAAATTTGTCTTTTTTATATACCGATTGGCTGATAGAGCTTTATAACTTATAGTTATGCTCTACTTTGTTCATATAATATACAGTTCATTCAATCTTTGTTATTTAACGTTGCTACGAATTCTATGCTCAAGCTATTTTCCGTTAATTCGTTATAGCTATCGAAAGTGTTTAATCGGCCTATATATAATTAGAGCTCCTATATTACATTTCGCAGCTCTAGTTTTCAATTTAGGCCTACATAATGGTAAAGAACGTATAAATAAATATTTGAGGGCATACTTAACTGAAATGGAAATTGATTTTACTCTTGCCAGTGGATAAACTGTCAAAATAATTATATATTTACAAAGT